AAAAATAAAAAAAAAAAAAAGGGAAAAACAAAAAAAACCAAAAAGGCAAAATAAAGAAAACCCAAAAAGAAAAAACAAAGAAAAACGAAAAAGGAAAAATAGAAAATAAACAAAAACGAATAAAAATGAAAAACCAAACAAATATAGTTATAACCGGATATTATATATCCGGTTATATCCAATAATATCATAGTGTCCAATAATATCATAATGATAATAATAATATAAAAAAAATTGTTACAAACCTCAGATGGCTTGTAGGATGCCATTTCATACTCAATCAAAATTAGTTCCAAAAAATATTTAGCCATTGTATGATGACTGTCTTCAGCTTTGGCAGCTTTTGAATAGCGACGTAAGAAATGTATTGGCAATGGCCGTGATAAATTGCAATCGATTGCTTTGAAAACTTTTAATTCCATTTGTAAAATCTGCTTAGCATTATACGTATCATCGGTAATATATACAAAATCACTTAAAGCAGGAGGATACAGTTCCTCATATTTGGTAGCAATGAACAAGGCTGTTACTCCAACAAGTTGCAATTGTGAACGTTTCGTATCCTTAACATTTTGCAAATAACGATCAATGATAGCTACCGTCATTTGGAATGTCTCAGGTACCAGGTGGAATTGCAAATGTACTTCATTTATCCAATCTACAAGTACTCCACGCATTTTGGGAGAAACCTCCTCCTGGCCTTCAAGATGATATTTTGCTATAGGGAGTTCGATTTCTAAACTATACAGATAATCATATATGTCGTTCACATATTCTGAGAGAAGTATCAAGGTATTGGTATCGTCTGCATCTATATCTTCGACATCACTTAATAGTTTTGTGGAATGCGATAAAGGTTTAAATAATATGGGGTCTTGCAAAGGCATTTCCTCTTTCTCCTTGACCTCTTTAGCGATGTTATTAACAACGGCATTTTCTACTTCAGTTTTTGCTGGTTGTGCGTTTACTTTAGCTGTAGCTGTGGGTTTACAATTCTGGTTCATTACCTTGTTTGCATCACGCAAAATGGCAGCTTTTATTTTATTCAGTGATATTTGCGATAACTGACTATCTTCCCTACGTAATTTAGGCAAAATGGAAACTAATTGGGCTTTTTCAACAACCTTTGTGGTTCTTACTTTGGCAACTAGAATTAAACGTATAAGTGCATTACCTAAAAGTCAAGCAATTCCATATATTACCTTCCAACTTTGCTTGTTTATTTTCTACCGCCTTTGTGGGCAACGTCTTAGGTTTTTGCTCGACAGGAACATTGGTGTTCACGCGCACAGAACTTGAACGAGTTACAACTCTGCGTTGTATGGCTTGGGTTATCGCATTATTATTCTCCAATTGAGCCACGTTGGTTGTAGAACTGGTCAATGTTGTTTTCTTCCAATTACTATCAACACGTGCTTTCGTACCGCGCAAGGCACCCTGTAGCTTAGCGTTCGCCGTACTGTTTGTATTAAAAATCAGGAAGACAAATATTTTAAAAACCGAATTTTTTTCCTATAAATGCAATGAAATTTCTGCTTGCCGTTTTTTAACTACTTACGGCTACATACTTCGATCGAGAGTGACTTACCTTTTTTGTACAGCATCCTTTCCAGAAGTTGGACGCAACACCGCACGATTTTGCAAATCACCCAATGCAGCGCGCTTCAAGTTATCAGCGACCGCTGATTGAGCCTTTTTAGTTTTGTTGTATTTTTCTGCATCGTTCTGCAAAACAATTTACAAACGGTATTTCAGATACTTCTTTTATTGTTTATTTCTCATATTCTTTAGCGCAAATATACCGCAATCAATATTTAATTATGTACCGCAAGCAATAAAAAATATGTGAGTTGAGGCAAACGGGATTTATCGGTGCGAACGTAATGGCGTCGCCATCACTTCTCGGTGAATAAATAAAACCTCACTTACCTCGTCGATGTTAATTTTTGTTACTCCAATAATTGCACTCATTTTGACCAGTTTTATTTACTAATTCCGTTTAACTTAAATTTTATAGATCTATATAAAATTTATATATAGCTTTTGTGAGTTGATTAATTAAAGTTTAAACAAATATAAAACATATAACACAAGGAAGTCAAGATTTCTTTTAATATATCACACGAAATACGCTTCAACTCCAATTTACTCTTATCGATGCTTACTCTGCCGTTGCAAAATCGTTTTGAAGCAAATGGTTTAAAATGTTCGCCGCGCTTTTATTTTTCGTTAAATATAATTCAACGACGAAGGCGAATTCAGCGTTTTTCGTCTAGAATTGAAAATCGTTCTGACCAAAAAGTAATATACAAGAAAGGAAACGCTGTAGTGAGGCAAACAAATTCTTTTTGGTGCATGAATTACCTTTGAATTTCATTATTCTTTTAGTGAAAATGCTTAAACCGCCTTTAATAAATTATATTATATTAATATTAGTTATTAATAAAATAAATATTAATCAAAATTAATAAATTAAAAACAAAAAAACATTACTTAGGCCTAGTGCGAGTTCGAATAAATTGATAGTAAATTGAGGGATATGGTAAATTGTGTCGGTATGGGAAGAAATGTTAATATTTATTTCGAGTATGGTAAATTAGATAAAAGTTAGGTAAATTAGGTGCTACAATTGTGAAAATTTTATAAGATATTTAATAAAGAGGTTTTTTCGAACAGTAGTGAACTAAAATAACAAAAATTTTATTTTTTATATTATTTTAATCAATTGAATTTTTGGCTGACCATACAACTGTTTCGAGTATTGCCAAATACCCATCATCAGTGGTCTAGGAAATAATTCTTGTATAAAATTATTTGTAAATAATTATTTTTGAGACTGCAAGTACCAGGAATCGAACTCGGGTCCTGCCAAATGTGAAGCTCAGAATCAGCGCACCTTAATCAACTGATTCAAAGCCGTACTTGACTTCTTATGTTCGCATATATTTCTGGAGTTTTGTTACTTTTGCTATGAAAGCTTTTATTAACAATTTTACTTGCTGTGTTTATATTAAAACGAAATCATAAACCAGTTGTAGAATAATTGAATTAATTAATAAATTATATTTTTATTTTTAATTGTTAAATTTCAATACTATTATGGTCGTGTGCGAGTTAGGCTAAGTTGCGTTCTAAATGAGGGAAATTCTAAGTTGTGCCGATAATGTAGTGATGTGTCGATACGTGTTGATAAGTGGCTAAATGTGTGTAGTGCAAAAAATCCAAAAAAATCTCCCATTTGGTTTAGCATCAATTTAGCCTAACTCGCACACGTCCTATGTTCTAATCAGAACCTAATAAGAAAGTCATGCAAATGTTACTCTACTAGTCGCACGGGGGGCCAAGATATTTATATATTTAGGTCGTGTGCGAGTTAGGCTAAGTTGATGCTAAACCAAATGGGAGATTTTTTGGGATTTTTTGCACTGCACACATTTTGCCATTTATCAACACGTATCGACAGGTCACTACATTATCGACACAACTTAGAATTTCCCTCATTTAGAATGCAACTTAGCCTAACTCGCACACGTCCTTAATAAATAAATAAATAAATTTAAAAACTTTTAACCAAAAATAATAAGTGCAATAAATAAATAAATAAATAAATATTTACATAAGTGCACTGCAAAAAATCTATTGATAAAGAATATTTGAGAATATACAAAACAGGTGTGTGGTCTGATTTGGCTATATTCAAAATTCAAAATTTTGTTATCGTAATTCACCATTGCTCATGACATCGTTCTACAAAAATACATATTTTCATTGATTTCGGAAATTAAATTTATGTATTAATTATTATTAAATTAATTTGAAATATTTGTCATATGTTTTATATGTAAAATGTAAACAAATAAGCTATTTTATGTGCATAAATTAGCTAATGTCAATGGAAACGACCAAATCTAAATTTCATTAACTTAAGTAGTTTAAGCTGCTGTGAAAACATGATATTATTCTTTATGTTACTTTGTTTCAATTAAGTAATAATAGGTCTGTCTATTCGGCTATTCGTAGTAAAACTCAAATAAAACACAAGTAAAGTACAAACTGATAGCTTAACATAAATAAAGTGCCAAATTACGCTCTTCACACAGATTTTCATGGAACAACTTTGTGTAAAATTTGGTAAGAACACCAGTGCCGCGAAAATACACAATATTTTCAAAAATGAATTCAAACCAAAACGGCTGATTCACACATCACACAAATTTTACTTGAAATAAAATATACGACTAAAGTCTGTGTAACATTTTCAAATTTTGACAGGGATGTTACGCTCACTCAGATGCTCTCATTTACTCGAAAATTTGCTAGTGGAACGCACTTGTGTACACACAGTGTTATTCACAGTTACTACGAGTAGCTCGTGGAAAAGACCTATTATAAAAGCACATTGATAAACCTGTATTTCTTAATGATAAATCTATATGTTTTGTAATTATGTGAAAATAAAAATAGAAATAAACAAATAAAATTCCAAATAAGTATAATTCTTATTTAAATTCGAACAAACTGACAAGACAATAATATTCAATAGGAAAACCAGCAAAAATAAGAGCGAAAATTGCGAAGTTCTACCACGATTACGTTCTACCAAGTAAATATTAGTATAAACTATAACACATCCATATTGGATGTTCTACCGCGTAACTTCAGAGTAGTTTAAGTCAAAGGAAAATCAATGTCAACCTGCGAAACACTAAAATGATTCAGTAGTAAATCTAATAATTTTAGATTGAATCCCTCCTCTAATGCAGATGAATCAATAATGTTTTTATTTAAGTCATCGTTTAATCGCAAAAAAATATTATAGAAACTCCAAATAATTTCTTTGGAAAGTGATCAAATGTCAACCTGAATACCTTTCCCTTTTATATTAGATATACATCAGAAATACAGACAGTGAAATTAAGGTCTTGTGCGAGTTAGGCTAAGTTGATGCTAAACCAAATGGGAGATTGTTTGGGTTTTTTTGCACTGCACACATTTTGACATTTATCAACACGTATCGACACATCACTACATTATCGGCACAACTTAGAATTTCCCTCATTTAGAACGCAACTTAGCCTAACTCGCACACGACCTAAGTTACGTGTTGATAAATGTCAAAATGTGTGCAGTGCAAAAAAACCCAAACAATCTCCCATTTGGTTTAGCATCAACTTAGCCTAACTCGCACAAGACCTTAATTTCACTGTCTGTATTTCTGATGTATATCTAATATAAAACGGAAAGGTATTCAGACTAAGATCTAGTATAAATCATCATCTAGTATAAGCACAGTTTTAACAGAACTTAGCCAATATGACATACTCAGGTAACAAAATGGAGTATCAGGTATTCTATCTCAAAAGAATTACTCAACAATCGTGTAGTTTGAAACCGTATAATTGGAGAGAAGGTACCCATTTTGTTTGAAACTCATGTCCCTTAGAGGTTACATATATATATATGTAAAAAAGAAAAGATTTTTTGCTTAATTTATAGTAATGTAAAAATAAATTTAATTAATTAAATTTTATTGAAATTATTACATTCTTTATATATAATACAATATACTTTATTGATTAAAGTTATATAGATTTACAATTTAATATTAATAATAATAATAATTACGGCACGGCACGCTTACTCCTTTGAGCACAACGACGAAAAACGTTTTGTATTTTTTCCTTTTTTTATCTATTTCTTTATACAGGGTTGCCATGATCGAATATACTACAGAAATTAATCAAAAAATATAATAAATTTACTTAATTATTTATTAAATCTTGTAATCTTGCACTTGTAGTTGTAAAATTTATTTACTAACAATTAAATATAAGAAATATATCCAAACATCCCACTGATATACTCGAAAAAACTGTACTCAATACTCAATACTCGAAACAACTATAGGGTCAGTCAAAAATTTAATTACTTAAGCCGTGTGCGAGTTCGAGTAAATTGAGGTAAAGTAAATTGTAATTTCCTAGGGATTTTTGCACTGGACTTATGTAAATATTTATATATATATTTATTCCACTTATTCATTACTTTTGATTAAAAGTTTTTAAATTTATTTATTTATTTATTAAACATCTTATAAAATTTTCACAATGGTAACACCTAATTTACCTAATTTTTATCTATTTTACCCTACTCCAAATTCTGGTAAATATCAACATTCGCTGTCATACCGAAATAATTTACTATTTCCCTTAATTTACCATCAATTTACTCAAACTCGCACACGGCCTTAAAAATAAAAAAAAAATTGTTGTAAATTCAATACTTTTCAGAAAACCCTTTCAATTAAAAAGTTTCTATTTAGGACGTGTACGAGTTAGGCTAAGGTCGCATTTAGAACGCAACTTAGCCTAACTCGCACACGACCTAAGTTGCGTTATAAATTCGGGAAATTCTAGGTTGTGCCGATAATGTAGTGATGTGTCGATACATGTTGATAAATGGCTAAATGTGTGCAGTGCAAAAAATACCAAGAAAAGTCCCATTTGGTTTAGCATCAACTTAGCCTAACTCCTTAGCCGTAGAAAATATTCTTTTGTCAAAATTAACTTAATAATCAAATATAAATTAATATAAATTAATTAATTAATATAAATTCCTTTAATTATACTATAAGAGAAAAGACAATTTTAACAAAATTTTGTTGCTAAAATAATATTTTTGAATGTTGTTCTATATGCGATACTCCTATAAACAAATGTATTTTCTTTCATTGAAACTAAAGTATCAACCAAATGGATTTGTTGGAAATTTCTGTTGGGTGAACAAATATATTATACCCAACATATACCCACCATCAAGTAAATACATAAAACTTAAGTAAATATTTTCTAATCCCGTCTTTATCGATTCATCGTTGTAATTTCTGTTATTTGCAGTGGTTGTTAGGACACATATTCCAAATCTTATTTTCCACTGTCGCTTAAAGTAGATGATGCTAGGACATCTCCCACCTCCCTTTCCTTTCCTGTTTGCCACTGGCACAACACCCACAAACATTCTTGCTATAGGGCAGGTCAGTTTGCCTAATCACATGTCACATACACACACATTTCCTTCCTTAACGTCTGTCTTCTTCCTACTTTACTCGTTGCTCGTTGCTCGGTGCTACGTATCAATTCATTTGTGTGATTTGCCTGAGATTCGCTCGATGCGCACAAACAGACAAC